CAAATAAATACGATTTAACATATATAATAGAAAACTCTTACGTACTTGAAACTTGAACACATGATAGTTCGTGACGCCTACCGGACAAAGCTACAGCACAATGTAATTGAAGATGAGTAACCGCGACATAATTCTCAGTGATGCGCAAGCATAACAGGCAGTATGTCACTTATATAATTGTCATCTCTGCAATCTATTAATCTTTGCACTTTTATAATTAATACAGAACGTAGTTGCTAGACGGTGTTGACGTCGGCTAAAATCTCTGCGATCGCCGTTTCGTCAAGGTCATTCAGGCTAGTTAAAGCCTTAACTTATTATTTGACAACACATGTGGCTTTGCTTACGCAGTGATGACTTCTCAGATATTTTTCCTCTGAATGATATTTTTATTAAATTCCTATTCATGAATGCCCCATGGCTTCACGGCAAATCATTTTCATACTCTGTGATGAGTAAGGTCAGGGAGCATAAGACATCTTCGATTCGAATAGTAATTGTAAACAAAATTGTGTTTCTGTTGGTCTGAAACTGCATCTTAAAACTGTCGCGACTTTATCGCATAAACGCCGCATGGTTTACATAAAAAGTCTTTGTGTCAACAGAATCAACTTTCCCGGAGTCTACCTATGCGTAATTTCATGTTCTCCGAAGCAGCATAATGTAATTTAAGTATAACGATAAACAGTCTCCCATTTTTATTTTTATTCACGTTGGATTAATTTATGTTTTAGCAGAACACACGTGTACATCAAATTTGCTTGCATAAACTTATTTTGCTCATTATCGCTTATCGCAATCGTTTAATGTGTAATCGGAACAACATCCGTTTTAGTAATGTAATTTATGTGATAAAACGTCACGACAATAGATAATCATAACCGATACCTATGAACACCGATATCGGAAGGACATTCTTCGATGTTATTTTTTAATAAATAATAGAACAGTACAGGCAGTATGATGCAGTCTTTAATCCAAGTTCTGTTTAGAACGAAGTTCCTTATCGCACGGTACGAATTTGACGGATGGGGGCTAGGCGAGAAAAAGTGAAAGGTTTGTACGTCACGACTGCCTTTCTATAGTGCAAGCGAGATGGAATAATATCCATCGCACCTTTTCTTATCTTGCCATGAAAGAAATATTATTTTATTTTAAACTAGCTGTGCCCCGCGGTGCGCGACATGACCTAGTTCAAGCATTTTATAATTGCAATTAAATATTTTATTTGATAGCAATGGATGGAAAAATTGGCATAATTAATGGAATACTTTTATCTGTCGGCATATTATGTATGATGTAGAGCGAAGTTAAGTTTTATCCACTTTCCCTCCCCCTCCCGGTTGAGCAGTTCTCGCAGTTCTCACCGGGCAGCTAGGGTTTATGTGTCGTTCGCGCGCCCAGCCAAGTATTGAATTATTTTTTTTTACATTATCTCTTAAACTATGCGTCCAAATAACATGGTATAAAGAACAAAGTTTATCTTCATAAAATTGTCTTGATAATGAAGTAGCTTTCGTTCGTAAGGATAAATAGGCCATGCCTAATAATAACGCTCATAAATCACTTTTGAATTTTCAATATTTTTTTGTCACAAAATACCTAATTATGGCTTATGTATAAGAAATAGACATATGGTATCGCGGACTTTTTTTTGACGGAGTAAAGATCTATATTTTTCTAGAACATTTTATTTATGTATCCCTAACGATAACACCAGCGTACGCGGATAAATCATTTCGGGAGTGCTTTTTCTTCTGACTTGCTTAAAAAATATCTATATTTAAGGCTAGCTGAGTGATATAGCTTAATGCTTTAACTGCCTCGTTGGTCTAGTGGTTGTAGTAGTGCGACTGGTGATCATGAGGTCCCGGGTTCGAATCCCGGGTCGGGCCAAAAAAATCAGTTATTGAGTTTTTCCATCAAGAAATTCTCAGTAGCTGCCCGGAGTCAGGAATCCGGCGGTGTTTCACCCCCGTGCCTCGGAAAGCACGTAAAGCCGTTGGTCCTGCGCCTGATCTCTCTCCGGTCGTGTCGGTTTACCGTCCCATCGGACTATGAGAGTGAGGGAATAGAGAGTGCACCTGTGCTTGCGCATACACTTGGGCACTATAATCCTGTCCTGCGCAGATGGCTAGTCTCCGCTGAGACTGGCCGCCGTGACCGAAATTCGGTCTGGAGGACATTATTATAGCTTAATGCTAGATAGCCTATAATATTCTACATGAATCTGGCTATAATATACAAAAAGAATTTTTCAAATCACACTGATAGTTCCAGAGATTAGCGCGTTTAAACAAACAAAAAAACTCTTCCGCTTTATTATATTACTAGCTTTTTACCTGCGGCTTCGCTCGCGTGAGCTTGAATTAAGGAACGCCATTAAATGCTATTCCGTGGCAAATTTACAAAAATTCTATCGCTTTTAGAGTCACCTCAGTGTCTGTGTCTCTATGTCTGTCAAAGATGTTTTTTTTTTTAATTCTAAAAGACTATTAGACGTACATTATGCATAGATTATGTATATTTGGCATAGATATAATATGCTACAGGAACACGTGAATGTACCTATATGCATAGAAAACACCTACTATTTTTTATATCGTAGTGTTAGTTAATAGAGAAATTAGTTTTAAATAATAGTTTATCATTATCTAGAGTATTATATTAATATACAACACTGAGTCAGTGGTTTGATTTTTAATTTTTTGCACTTTATAACTCTTTTTTTTTAATTTTTCTACTTTAAGTTATATTTATAGTTTGGTTTATTCATTTCAAATGTAATTAATATAAATTTTTTTTGTCAAGCTATATTATGAGATGGTCAACAAACAGTGCTAAATATCATGAAATGACCACACCATTTCACGAAATGATAGACTACTTTATGATAGGTATATGATCAATTCTACGATTTGGTCACGACATATATAAAAATATGTTTAATAGGGCTATAAAGATAATGAAAATTTTGCAATAATTGTAAACAGACCAGTTTTAATCAGTTTACATATAGATTAGTATAATTGAAATAAAAACCTTATCAATTTTCATATTTTTGATAGATGTCACTATTATCTATTGACTTTATTACATTTTTAAAATAAAATAACAAAAATACTAAAAATTTAAACGTTACAATTTTTAAATAATTTTAAAAATCTTATTATTTAAACATATAAATATTTTTATTTATATTATTTAATTTATAAGTAACTGAAGGCAAAATATACTAATTTTTCTAATTGATGATAGATGGCGCTATTTTGATAACTACATCAGTGTATTTTACCAAGTTTATAACTATATTTTAAACTTTATTTATAAATTTATAAATATGGTATTATTAATATTTGATATATAAATATTTGAAAAACACTCGTTATCCCGCCTATAACTAATATATAATAGAAAATTAACATTTAAAGGAAGAAAAATACTTAACCTTCTTTTTTGAAGTTCCGTAATCGGATAAAAAGTAGCCTATAAGTTGCCCCGGGTTAATAACTACCTACATACAAAATTTTATGTAAATCGGTCCAGTGGTTTTTGGGTGAATCCGGAACACACAGACAGACAGACAGACAGACACAAAAATTCTAAAAACCACTGATTTGGCTTGAGAGCCCTTTATTTAGTCCCCTGGACTTGTTTTTACAAGAATATATTAGAATTACAGACACGACTTTTCTACAGATTTATTATATGTATAGAAAACTTTATTTATAAATTTATAAATATGGTATTATTAATATTTGATTTATAAATATTTGAAAAACACTCGTTATCCCGCCTATAACTAATATATAATAGAAACATTTAAAGGAAGAAAAATACTTAACCTTCTTTTTTGAAGTTCCGTAATCGGATAAAAAGTAGCCTATAAGTTGCCCCGGGTTAATAACTACCTACATACAAAATTTTATGTAAATCGGTCCAGTGGTTTTTGGGTGAATCCGGAACACACAGACAGACAGACAGACAGACAAAAATTCTAAAAACCACTGATTTGGCTTGAGAGCCCTTTATTTAGTCCCCTGGACTTGTTTTTTCAAGAATATATTAGAATTGCAGACACGACTTTTCTACAGATTTATTATATGTATAGATAAGTATAGATGACGCTTCATTTTAATGGACGCTAGTAATTAATTAATTTGTATTTGTTAATCAATAATATAATACGTTTAACAATAATAATATACTACGAAAGGAACTTCATTCCAACCGAGTGTTCCACGACACTCACGTCTGTTTTTTTTTTAATTTTGCCAGGGAGATCGTTTCGAGTAGATAAATGTAATGTTCTATAAAAATGAAGCCAGAATATTAAACAGTATTAAAGTATCAGCCTTTATCTTTCTGATAGGTCACAGGACTCCTCTAATTCCTGAGAGAGTTTTAGGAGAGTCTGCCGCGCTGCGTTGGTAGGCTTTACATAACCCTCAATTTTTTTAAATTTTTCAGATAAGCTTGAGGTAAATCAGCGCTTAAAATTGCCCTTAACAATCTCATTGGTACCAGCGGTGATCGTACTATTCGGTTTACTCGCGTACTATAAAGTTTGGCCGCGGCTCTTAACCAGGCAATTAAAGAGACCAAGAATTCATTCGGTCATGGTTACAAGTTCCATTTTAAGGTCACATTGTAGTGACAGGTCCATGGCGCAGTGACTTAGCAATGAGTTCTTGCGCTGGGGTTCGCGGTTTCGAATCCCGCAAGGAACAAGTATTTGTATGGCCTGCAGATAATTGTTCCGGGTCTGGAGGTTTGTCCTCGTGCAAATTATGTTTGTAAACTGCCCGGTAGGTGGCGCTATTGTCTAGATCCAGAAATCACCCGTGGAATTGATTTATATAGTCTAGTTTCACAATTGGTCCCGGTAGGTGGCGCTGTTGCCGAGATCCAGAAATCACCCGTGCGTAACCGGGACGAATCGCTAGTAGTTGATAAATATGTACTAAAATAGTAGATAAATAAAATGAGTGATTTCGTACCTTGAAATAGACAAAGAAAATGACAATGCCGAAGTACACGAGGGCGTGTGGCGCAGAGATCAAGTCCGTCTTCTTGTCCAACACGAAAATCACCGATGCTACAAGTGACGCCTTCGTGTAGCTAAAAGAATAATAAAACACTATAATAATAGTATTGTAAAGAAGCATATTATAAATTATTTTAGACAATAGAATACATATGTTCATATTTTCACTTCAAGTTCTTCATGAGCATATTCGCAATCATCAATTTACTTATGTAAAGCACTGTAATACTTAATAAATAAAGTAATTAGTCCATCTTTCTTGCTTCCATGCAGTGTCAGTAGTTTATAGAATATAATTATAATATGAAGTCCCGGCTCGACCTATTGGATGTTTAGCTTTTCAGTACTTACTTAAATGGCGCAAATCTGAGTCTAATATAGGCTGAGTATAATGTGCCATTTGCTGTAGGTCCGTGGGGTCCAAAGGTTAAGTACAGCCTGTCTTTAAACTGTGGTAACGCCATTCACCGAGAAAACGCAGTCAGGGTTTTTAGCATTATACCAAAGGAGTAGAACTGGTAAGACTCTATGATAATTTTAGTTTTTGTTTTTTATTGTAATAATTATAATAATCGGGCTCGAATCCACACAAAACTGCGGCATCATGAGCTTTTAAATGAAATAGGAGTTCTTCTAACACTCTCGAGCGCGGGTATATATCGTTCCATGTGGAAGTTGCAAGCAAGAAGGTACGCGTGCAAGATGCCTCCGGTTCCCATTGTCATAGGTGAAATTGTTAATTGAAATTTTAAGTATTGATATACTACGCGCCGAGCGCGGTGATCGAATATATCGTGAGGATACCTGCTTGAGGACTAGAGTAGAACAAATTGAACTCAGCCTTTTTTATATAGAATTGGGTGATAAATAAGCACTCAGTCCATCTGATGGTAAGTGGATGCTGTGGCCCAGAGACATCTACATTTATTCTTAATTGAGAATCAAAAAATGCAGATGCGTTGACATCCCTGAGGACATAGATGGAATGCCTCGTTTCCAGTAAAAAGGGTCTCCGGTTCTGTACTACACTCACCATACGAAACAGAGCAGCATCAAGCTGCTGTTTTACGCTGGTATTCTGTGAGAGCGAGGTCCTTACCCCGGTCGAGGTGCTACTACCATAATATAGTTGAAGCGTGGCTCTAACACGTAATACCTGGGCTCAGCAGTGGGACGTTAATAGACTGTTATTTTGTTCTTTACTTTTATTTATTTTTTGCCAACTACTACTGAATTTTTATAATATTTTAATTGTTAAACAGCTGTTTTGCAAATTACGTAACATGTTCAAGAAAATTCACACAAATCTTTTGAATACATTTCGGCAATACTCACAAGCTCGGCTGCATAGTTTCCATCGCAGTAGGAGTCCACGCGCCGCGGACGAGGCGCTCCACAAGTTTTGTGAAGCCGGCGCCATTGCCTTTAATTGTTCCTGAAATCAAAGAAATAAAATATTTTTCTTCTTTCTTTATTTCAGCTCAAAATACTGAGTTAGCGTTTATCATATTATATCCGATACTAAAAAAACATGCGTAAGTGTCGTCGAACACTCGGTTGGAACGAAGTTCCTTTCTAGTAATGCTATTAAATATTACTAATATTCCCTTAAACCACTTCTGGTAAGTTTAAAGCACTTGTGTTAGAAGTGGTTCACGACAGTAGTCGAACGGCGGATTCGAACCCACGACCTATCGAGTTCGCGGTTCGCAATTAGACTACTGACACTTCTAATATATTATTATTGATAAACGATATTATTAATTAACAATAACAAATACAAATAAATGAATTACTAGCGTCTATTAAAATGAAGCGTCATTTAAAATAAAATAATATTTCTTTCATGACAAGATAAGAAAAGTGCGATGGAGATGGATAATAGACGTCAAGGCCGTCTACACTACGTGAGAAGGGGTCGCGACGGAAAAATCTTACACTTTTTCTCGCCTAGCTAACCCCATCCACCAAATTCGTAACGTCCGATAAAGAACTTCGTTCCAAAACGGACTGAGGCGACGGCCCCGTGACGCAGTGGCTTAGCAATGAGTTGTGGCGCTAAGGTCCGCGGGTTCGAATCCTGCACGGAACACGTATTTGTATGGTCTACATTTTTTTTAAAGGATAAGGGTAACAAACGAGCACACAGTCCACCTGATGGTAAGTGATTACTGTGGACCTTAGACATCAACATTTATCCTCGATTACGAACGAAAATGCAGATGTGTTGTCACCCGTGAGGACTAAGATGGAATGCCTTGTTTCCAGTTAAAAGTGTCTCCGGTTCTCTACACTCGCCATACTAAACACAGCAGCGTTAAGCTGCTATTTTACGCTGGTATTCTGTGAGAGCGTGGTCCTTCCCTGGTCGAGCCAACCCATTCGTGCTACACTACAACTATACTATTAATATAGCTGCAGCATAGCTCTACCACGTAAAATAACATGGGTCCGGGCCTGGATGTTAACTGGATGTTCTTGTGAAATTTATGTAAGTAAACTATACTATCGATTTCATGATAAAAAAAATATAACCTTTTAATCCCAATCTTGGGAATGAGTTGGCATGCATTAAAAGCGCCTAAACCAGTTCTAACTTGAAAGCAGCAATACGCGAGCCTTCATCATCATACTACCTTCATCATCATCATTATCATTACAATCCTTCACAAGTCCACCGCTGAACTGAATAAGGCTTAACTACTTACGTACTACCCTACCAGTTAATAAGCTCACCAATAATGATCATAATGATGTAGGCGTTAGGATACAATTTGCCGGCGTGACTGACACCGTCATAGACTTTCTTGGCACGGTAGATTTCTTTCATGGCGGACGCAGCTATCTTCACCGGTAGGAACTTGGCCACTTTATATCCGACGTCGAATGGAGTGTAAAACACAATGTACCTGGTAAGAAGAAAGATTTTTTAATAAACTTTTATTTATTAGAAAAACTTTCTATAAAAAGAAACTAGTTTTTACGGATTTTATCTAAACAATATAAAATAAGTTAAGCCGTGGTAGCTCGAATGGCTAGCGCTCGCTGTAAATTTCACAGTACGCAAGCAACCCGGGTTCTATCCCCGCCGGAACCAGAGAAATTGTTAATTGCAATTTTAAGTGCTGATTTACCACGTGCTCGGCGATGAAAGAAATCATCGGGAGGACACCTGCGTCTAAGAAGTATGAAAAAAATATTATTTCGAAGACATGTGAAGTCCGCCAACACGACGCTTCTTTGCCCTAAAACCCTTTCAGAAATGATGAGAGGCCTTTGCCCAGCTGTGGGACATATATAGGCTGTGACTTTACTTTAGTCTCTAAAGTGGAATAGTTTATACATACGTAGTACTGAATAAATAATAGTATTTATTCTGTGATATCACTTAGTATTCTGTGAGCACGTGATCCTTCTCGATCGTGCCGACTCTCTATCTACTCGTATTACTTTGCACTCGGCGATTTATTTACTAACCATAACAAACCAATAAAACGCGATAAAATCCGTAAAAAGATAAATTTATGAAGAAAAAATAACAGTAAGTGACTTATAAAGTAATTATTAGCTCTTTGTGTAACTGTAGTTGTACGCCTGTGTGAAACTGTAATGCATCTTGTTTTTAAGCGCGCGCGCGCGTTTGTGTGTGTGTGTGTGTGCGTGTGCGTGTGCGTGTGCGTGTGCGTGTGCGTGTGCGTGTGCGTGTGCGTGTGAGTGTGCGTGTGCGTGTGCGTGTGCGTGTGCGTGTGCGTGTGCGTGTGCGTGTGCGTGTGCGTGTGCGTGTGCGTGTGCGTGTGCGTGTGCGTGTGCGTGTGCGTGTGCGTGTGCGTGTGCGTGTGCGTGTGCGTGTGCGTGTGCGTGTGCGTGTGCGTGTGCGTGTGCGTGTGCGTGTGCGTGTGCGTGTGCGTGTGCGTGTGCGTGTGCGTGTGCGTGTGCGTGTGCGTGTGCGTGTGCGTGTGCGTGTGCGTGTGCGTGTGCGTGTGCGTGTGCGTGTGCGTGTGCGTGTGCGTGTGCGTGTGCGTGTGCGTGTGCGTGTGCGTGTGCGTGTGTGTGTGTGTGTGTGTGTGTGTGTGTGTGTGTGTGTGTGTGTGTTGGTTGTTCGAAGTGCATGTAATAGATTAAGCTCGGTGAGTACGTACATTATTGATAAGAAAGAAGAAAAATAAAAAATTGCTTAACTAAGTCTATCTAAAATTTGTTCAGTTTCTTCGTATGTTAAGGTTTTTAACCACTCAGTTATTATTAAATTAAATTAAATTAATTAATTACTAATTACTATTATTAAACTTTTCATTAATTGCGCTATTTTACATGAAAAAATGTGATTTTTATCTTTATAATATCTACAAACAAATTTATAAATAAGTACATATATCAATTTTATAAAAATTTAATCAATTGGATATTCAACATTATTCTCATCAATTTTATGTATCTGAGTGTGACGGTCACGCGAGATCAGTGCTTTTTCCCATTCCAAAAGTATTCACAAAACAGCAAAATTTATTAAATTACCCCAAAGCCATTTTAATATATTGAAGAAAAAATACAATCGTAATCGATTAAAATTCAAAGTTATCCACTTTGTGCCAAAGACTGTAGAGTAATGTAATAAAATATTAAATACTTACCAGGTGACGGTTCCAATAAGCAGCTGTGGCGTGTTCTTTAACGGGGCGAGAATGGGCTCCCCGAGCAAGCCGTTGGCCACCATGCCGCCCGCGAAGATCACCAGCATAGTAGACAACCAACACGCCAAAGGATGTTTACGAGAGAAAGCCTGCGCGCCTGAAATGTATTTACAGCATTTATTTTAAACGTTATTGTGATTAGGTGACGGGTTATAATGTCCTCCAGACCAAGTTTCGATCACGGCAAGCATTCTCGACAGAGATTAGCCAGTTGACGGCTCCGTGGCGCAGTGGCTTAGCTATTGAGTTGCAGCGCTAAGGGCCGCGGGTTCGAATCCCGCACGGAACAAGTATTTGTATGGCCTACAAATAATTGTTCCGGGTCTGGATGTTACTCCTTGTGCAATTTATGTTTGTAAACTGCCCCCACGATACAGGAGAAAATCCTAGTGTGGAGGTTACGTTTTTTTTTTAAAGAAAAACGATTTCCGCGGGACAGGATTATAGTGCGCGAGTACAATTGCACTCTATTCCCTCACTCATGATCCGATGGAACGGCAACCACACCCGACCGGAGAGAGATCAGGCGCAGGACTAATAGATTTCACGTGCTTTTCGAGACACGGCGAGGGAATACCGCCGATTTCCTGACTAAGAGCTGCTACCGAGAATTTCCTGACTGAAAAACTGAATAACTGATTTAGTTCCGACCCGGGATTTGAACCCGGGACCACATGATCACAAGTCGCGCTTTCGACTGATAGATCAATAAGGAAATCGTTGTTGTTGGCAATGATATTAACGCGTGAAATTCATGCGTATTACCAACCATTTTACGATATACTTACTAGTTAGGACGCTCCTAAAACGACCTATTCAGTAACAGTGCATTAAAACACTGATAATGAAGACGAATTCAAACATCTTTCTACATCTTTATTGGTATTAGCTTTAGTAGTTCCATAACTGGAACTAGGACATAGATCTCTTGTCTGTGGAGTTTCCTCATTTATCTATTCATATAAATAAAATTGTGTCTGTCTGTAATATCGAAATAACTGCCTTTTAATGAGCTGAGGGGGTTATTTGTGTAGTATTAATACATAAACAACCATCTTTTTTAATTTTGTCTGTCTATCTGTCTGTTCGCCTGTCCGGGCGTTTTGTTTGTTTGTGCGTCGGAATGGTTGCACTGATTACAATTTTTAAAGTTAAACAATAGATATAACTCTTGAATAATGAATTGAATATACGGGCTGTTTTCTGCAATTCCACGTCTAAGCGCGTATTTTGCGTGTGGTGTAATATAACTCTTTCAAATTTACTAAACGATATTTCCACAATTATTTCTTCTTATTCTCTCATTATTTCGTCACGCTGTTCGTTCACGCTAATCTTCGAAACTGCTCAATCGAATTTAATTAACTTTTGTAAATGTCTATTACTTGCTCCAACTTGAGAGATAAGATAATAAGTTTTTATCCCGATTAGTGACCTCAATATTTTTTATTGCGAATTTAAGGACTTTTTTTATAGGAAAAAGGATCGTCGGAATGGGCAGATCAACGTCTGCCTGGCCAGCTAGTATGTTATAAAGTATAAACAAAAAAAAGCTTAAAGTATTATCCTGAGAGGTGTGTCAGGATCGTGCCAAATGGAAGTCCATAATCTCTGCCTACCCCTCTGGGTGACAGGCGTGAGTGTTTATGTATGTTTATGTATTATCCTTAAAAGTAATATTGCCCTTACAGTGGCCAAAATTCCGTTCCCATTTTAAAATTTAAAATAATTATAAAAATGTTTTACAGACCTATAAAGAGCCTGACATTAATTACACTGTCAGGGTTTTGATCTTTTACTTATACAATATACACTAATTTCGTTAATGTAAATCTATATAGGAAATTTTGTCAAATAAGTGATCCATAGCTACGAGCTTTTTTTTTATAGAATAAGGGTGACAAACGAGCACACAGTTCACTTTATGGTAAGTGGTTGCTATGGCACATAGACGTCTATCATCTATCATCAGTTGCGTTGTCAACCCTGAGGACTAAGATGGAATGCCTCGTATCCAGTAAAAAGGGATTTTACTGGATAAAAGACTTTCCACTCCGGATCTTTACATTTACACGCTCGGGTAAGATATGCAGGAATTCAACGGATGAAGGTGGCTCAGAACCGTGCTTTGTGGCGCACCTTGGACATAGCTTCTGTTCAATAGTGTGCTTGTAATGAGCTGTAATGATAATGTGTAATATCCATTGCCTAACATAGGCCTATGCTATAGATTGCCTCATAGGGGAGATATATGCCATAGTTGCCATGTTTGGCAAGCGAAGTATTTTTTAATTGTTGTCACGAAACTGCTGCTGCCTACCTCCTGTTTCATTTTTATTCAGTTGCCTCTTGCGACACCCACGGGATTATATGGGGTAGTGAATTCTTTTATGCCGCCCTTAAATGTACCATAATACAATACAGCATGTCTTCAACGTCTTATTATACTATTATACATATTTTATAGCTTTATTAAATTCAAAAGTTAAAAGAATAGTTTAGTAGTGTAAATAAACAATGAATTTCAAACGTTTATACACCCGGCTCGTTGGTCTAGGGGTATGATTCTCGCTTCGGGTGCGAGAGGTCCCGGGTTCAAATCCCGGACGAGCCCAGAAAAACTTATTTTTATATACCAGTTTTAGTTTTAAAGAAATCAATAAAGGAAAATTTATTTTTAACGCTTTTGAAAGAATTATTTTGCAATCTGCCTTAGCATTTTTTAGATATTCTGTGGTACTTTTATATCAAAATGCTAGAAACGCGCCATCTATATCTGCCACGAAGAAATTGTGCAGTGTTTTTATTTTTATGAATCAAGGTTCTTATCTGAAACATAACCTCTCTTTCAATGAACATTATCACAATCAAATTAAATTAAAACTTAAATAAACACATTAATTATCTCTCATAAAATGTACATGGATAAATTTATAGTCTAGTGGTGTACTTTTTATAAGTAGGTATCTAATTTTTTTATTTAAATTACTAATATCTGCGATATGAACTTTTAACCATTTTTAATTGTAATACAATGTTTTAGTATTTTTTTAAAGAGAAATGCTACCTATCGATAACATTAGATACACCTAGGAGAGTTCTTGGTATAATTATTATGACGCGGGAACAAATCTATTTTTAAAACTGTACATTTATTTTTACAACATATTGCCACCGCAGCCGTACCGTCCATAAGAGTTAACTAGACTAGATAACTAAAAAGGGGCGTAGAAATATATTTAAACAGGAGTTCTGGCGGTACTATTTAAAATAAAATTAAACTCTTACCAGATCCTAAATCTTCCCTCACTGCTAGAGCACATAATAGAGAATGTGCCACATCAAAATATGGATACATTTTTAATTTTATGACCTGGTTGGCCAAATCCAAGAATGCTTCGGGATCCATGATGCTATTTATTTATTAAGCACACAGTTTTGGTAAATTTTGTACAACTTAACACCGACAATAAAGTGACACGATGTCGCCGTGTCTGCGACTATCCGCGGGCGTTGTAGCCGCGAGACTGGATTGCTATTTGCTATCGAAGTCGGTTTTTTTTTTATTTTAGTCAGCTCAGCATCAGCAGCGCCGAAGCTAACGTTAGACGAAAGCTTGAAAGTATTACCAGTCATTTACTGTGGTATGACATTATGTTTCTGACATTTTCTGTTTAAAATCCTCTTTTTTTTTAAATTAAATATATTGTTTCTATACTCTCAAAATTTTGTATGAGAGAAATAAGTTTCCGTAGTGTAGCGGTTATCACGTGTGCTTCACACGCACAAGGTCCCCGGTTCGATCCCGGGCGGAAACAAGCTTTTTTTAAATAATTATTCCCAGCAATGTTTTTTTTTAATTTTGAACAATGCTAACTTTTTTCTCTTAAGATATAATTTTAATCGTAACGTAGATATGTAATAATTTGAATACGAAATGTTTGAATAAGAAGTGTTATACTACTTTCCCTTGATTATTAATAATACGGTAAAGATCGCTTACTTATTATAATTTAAACATGTCAAATGTTCAAGTCAAGTTATAGAATTATAAAAACACTAAAATCTACTTATCACAATAAAATGGTTGTGCAGCTGAACATTTTATAATACCTACCCAATACGAGAGGGAAAAGGAAAAATTTAAGGGGGTCGTGTAGTTTTAAATTAGATGAATTAGCTATTCGATTTAAAAATAAGAATTCAAGATTAATGATAGTTGACCAAAAATCAAAACTTACTTGTTTATTTGAAAAAGACACCCAAGGCATAAGCATACTATGTAACTTGTGTTCATATTATATCATACAATATATATAATAATGCATACACGTTGAAGAATTTCATTTTATAATGTGCACATTAAATTACTACTTTTCACTGTCATTATTTTAAATATCAAGATAAGTCGTCATGGTATAAGTGAAAAAAGTAACGGGCCTGTAATACGTCCCATAGCTATTCAAGCTAAGCCTTCTCTCAGGCAAGGAAATGTCCATCGCGCTTGCTCCAATGCGTGTTGGTTCACTTGTATTCAAATTATTTTTTTTTATTTCTCAGACATGCAGGTTGCTTCACAATATTTTCCTTCCTTAAAATTTGAAATTTCACTGGTATAATGAATTTTTATAGCTAGAGAATGTCCCTGAGCTACGTGGTAGTTTTCATTGATTCTCATTTGATGTAACAATATTAACTCTTTCACTGTTCGATTAACAAGCCAACTGGTGGTATACCAGGGCGGAGCAGGACGGTCATGGCCATAGACGCACTTCTGGAAAAGAAAATTCAGCTGTCCACCTTAGCTTTTCGACCACCGACTTCAAACATGAGGAGGTACTCAATACGACTATATGTTTTTTTAAGTGTTACCTCATAACTTTTTTCTGGGTGAACCGATTTCCATGATTCTTTTTTCATTTTTGAAAGCTGGTGCTTCACATGTGGTCCCATATAAAGATCTGACCAATAGTTTTTGAGTTAGTCCTAATAATTTATATTGAAGTTGGTTGTACAAAATTTTTAATTTAAATTATGAAATACGGAATGACAGTAAAATTCCATAAAAAAAAATCTGAAAAATTACTGTTACTGAATGCTTTTAATAAAAATATAACAAACTCTGTACCACTGTTTACTTCTACAATTGAATTCTACAGCTTTCCTATTCGCTATTGTATAAAATCGGCCAGACATCGACATCGTCATCGTCACCATCGTTACCTCTATAAAGCAATTATTCTTATACCTTGAGATTTGAGTGGCGCAAAGAATAAACAATCTTTTTTAAATGTATTTAATCTGAAAATATATATTATTTTATAATTAATAACAAATATAAAAACTATAAAAGCTAAGCTTAAATTATACATATAAAAATATTATGAACAATTTTGAGCGTAGGTACATTAGATTAGAGGAACTTTGTTTCATTTCTCTTCGGTCTTCGTATATTAGATGCACAGCCAAGAAGCTTTGGAAAAATAATATATGATTCCGTATGACTTCATTTATAAAGAACTCAGAAGAAGAATCATTTATGATTAAATGCACAATATAACTATAGATCTTAAACGTATTACGTTAAATAAACACACAGAACCTAATGTAAAATAACGCAATGTTAAACTAAAGTTTTATTTTTGCATAAATAAGTCTTATATCCTGTCAAATTTACGCTCAAAATTACAGATCAAATCGTAGGTATTTAAAACTGAATTCATTATTAAATAATTAATTATTAAAACTCAATTTATTTTAATTACATTTTTCGTATTATTAACTGGCTTAAACGTTAAGCATCATTATAAATGACAAATATTATTACACGTTCTATTGTCCATCTAATCAGTAAAAACACCAATTTATCATATTCATTATTGCTGTTAGAGCTAACTAAGAATTATTAGAAGGCACTATTTTATTGATACTTGAAGATTATGGTATTTTACATTATTAATGTCACCGAGAAAAGTCATTTCGTATTACATCGTGGTAATGTCACGTTGATTGTCTGAGTTACATTTATTGAGGTATTATGTACCATATTTCAACAGTTACATCACGAATTTCACGAGCTACAGTGGAATACAATTGGTCTATTTTGGTTTGATCGAATTAAAAATTATAAATTCTAGCTTTTTTAAAAAGAAATATATTCACCCAAAGATGGTATTTAAAGGAATACGAAATTTTTAAAAGAAATTTAAAGTGAAACAGGTACATACAATAAATCAATAAACAATATGCTGTACGAATGCTGCATGCTGTACAAAACGTGTATATTTGTACAGCTGACACGATAAACAAGAGAAATGATATTTCGTCATTACTCATATTCTAAAGAAATTAATTCCAATTAAGTTGAATTGGAATTAATTTCTTCTCCTAAAATTAATACATATTTGTGATAGTAGTATACGCATTCGCGGGATTATCATATTATGCATTCGCAACTAGGGATTGGAAAGAGGTTTCAAAATTCGTTATGGTTCTTTTAAAAGTTAATTTAGTTTCTAATATAGGTTTCCGGTACGGTTTCGGTTCTTATAACGGTTATGGTATTGGCTTTAAAATACCGGTTCTAAAATACCTACGAAAACTTTTCGGGTTCATGTCGAAGGGGGCAACGCTTTAGTCGCGTTGTAGTTTAGCTTTATTTTTATATAACTACACATTATACTGCTTTGGTTCTCGTATTCGCTAAATCCCGCTTCTTTACCGGTATTTTTGGAAATTTGTTTTTATTATGAAATACTCGGCTATGGAAAGCAATAATTATTGCATAGTTATTCTTGTTGAACGATTATAAGTTTACAAGTATAGAAGAAGCAAGAAAGCAAGATTAATTTTAAGATTTGATCCACGTTATTGAATGTTAAGTGAGCGGGGCGTATGTCATACAATCATAATAATAGATTAGTCGTCAGTCGCACTACCAACGTTTTTTTTTTTATACATTCTATAGAAAAATATGAATTCGTTAATCACTGCCAGTATGATTTCTCAGACAATGTCGTAGAGGTTCCTTTTAAAACAATAAGGCAGGCATATGTTTCACAGGTTTTTAGTTGAATTTTATACACTGAATAAAATATTACTTGTTGGCCTTTGTATGGGGATAGTGTTATGCCACAACTTTTGCTTGCATTGCTTTTTTCATTTCATAAGAAAAATACGTTTATTTGCCGATTGTTTTTTTTTTCTTCAAATAACCACACTGCATTTGCAACTATAACGTATGTTTTTATATAGATGACAACTGGAGCGTAACCCGCTCTAGTCAGTTGCGTCTATCATTTGTATAAAAACTCCTTAGTCTTTTCTGTTTATTTCTTTGTGTTTACACTAAAGTGGATCAGAGACGAAGTGGGACGAACGAAATTTCAAATGATCGATTTTGTCTTGTCTCCTCTCAATATTTCGTCGCCGCCTTATTGGAAATGTAATCTTAAGGACAAATGCAGCGCAATCCAACTTTTAGGTACTTAATATCATTGACCTAGTGAGATATACCTACTCTACGGATGACATGGTGATTCGATGGGAATAAATTTCTTTGTTGGATGTTTATTTTTTTATTATTTGTCATAAAGCACCTGTTATAGTATTAAAAAATTATTATATTTTTATATTGCTTTTTGTACCTATTATATATTTAATAGGTACAAGAAGCAATTATAGATATACATCATTGTTTGGATTTAACCATAAACAATTTAACTTAAGTTGAACATCGCTGAAAATAAAAATAGTTATATTTATTTACAAACTAAAACACTACTTACCTAATGCATAATACAATTCTAGAAACAACAAATTATAGTCTTCAAATTGTTAACGTTCCAAACTACAATTATACATTTTTGAGCCATTGGGTAATGCTATCACTCACTTTTTTGGTATTTATTAGTTCAATGAATCTAAACCATTCTCTAATCAACTTCAAAAAATTTAAACGTGCAGACGGCGGCAAGCGACTGTTTTATACTATGTAGAGATAACAAAGAAACGATCGTGAGCCTGTGAGCATTTACAATTTTGTAAATTTGTAAAAAGCCTGTAATACTATACTTATAATCGTTCACTGGATATTCCTATTTTTAGTAGAAATTTTATTTTAAAAGCCGCTACGTTAATGATTTGTTCACTGTTGAACATATAATATATTCTCACTACCCAAACTTATTCAAGTATGTTATACTCGAAGGAAGTCTTCAATAACAATTATAATAACCATAAAAGTGATAGCTCAAAGGATAATCTTAACTTTAAAATGTAAAGATTATCCCTTGAGCTTTCCAAGTTTGATAGCCGCTTTAAATTAAAGAAAGATTCTTGGATAGTTTAAATCTGTGGGACGATTGGTAAAGCGGAATTCGTGGTTCGTTCGTAAAACAAAGTAATATCTATAATTCTAAAAATAAAGTATATTAAAAGCCTAAATAATGACCTTACATAAGTTTTACAAAGTTAATTATATGTTTGTGGAATATAGGAACTTTCAGTTTATGCTTTGGCTTCGGCCGGCTCCAGCAGGTTCTCTGTAAACAAAGATATACTAAGACTGAGATAGAAGATTTACCATCGCCACGTCTAGACTTCTATAAAAATCTCCTTTCTATATCGTATAAAAACTGCAGCAGCAAAGGATCTGCTTGACCGGGGAGAGACCACCCTCGCACAGAGCGAGTGACTAGAACTCTTTTTACTGGTAACAAGGTATTCGTCTGCATTTACCTTCAGGCGGACTGTGTGCTCATTTATCACTCTTAATCTATACAAATAAATAAAATTGTTGTGTCTGTTTGTAATGTCAAAATTACAGTTTTTTGCTAAATGTATATGAAAGCAAATACGGTACTTGTAACTAAAATACAATTTTTAAAATTTTCGTCTGTCTGTCTGTTTGTTCCGGCCAATCCCCGAAACGGCTGGACCGATTTTGACGGGACTTTCACTGGCAGGTAGCTGATTTCATAAGGAGTAACTTAGGCTACTTTTATTTTAGAAAAAGAAATAGGGTTCCGCGCTAAAACATAAAAACCCTAACACGCGAGCGAAGCCGCGGGAACAGCTAGTTTAATATAAAAATTATGAACTGATTACAATTAATTGGCCTATAGACGAAACCCGTCGCACACACAAAACATAGTCGGATGATTTATAAATGTAGGAATGAAAAAAATATCTGGGAGGTTTTTATGTGGTTATCAGCAATAAGGGTTATATTGGTATTAGAAGAAGTAAAGTAAGCTATGAAAAAAAGATGTCATTGAAGACATATGAGGAGTACGGTCACCACAGTGTTCAAAGAACCTTCATAATGACGAAGGGGCTTTGTGCGATTTGTACTGTAAGAGTATATGGTCGTGAATTATTTACCAAAATTTACGTTGTACGTTGTCCCTCAAGTCGCAAGATTTATGTGACTCATGATTACTTGAGAAATTTTATTAACTGTTTCACACAGTTCTTTAATTTACGTAATAATATATTTAGTTTAGATTTTATTACAATGTAATTTTTTATTATACTTTTGCCTTTATTTGGCGAACTCCTCGATGGCCTTCCATTAGCTAAAAGAAAATAGTCAATGAGTTAAAACATTATGTAACATTTTAAGAATAATTGTTTCTTTTCATATTTCTTGTTTTTGAGCGAAAGCTATAATAATGTACTCTATGCTGCATTCTGATAAGTTATAGCAATGATATTAATGATGACGATGATGATGATATATTATGAACTCTTATAGCTGTTTTAATTACTTCACTACAATATATTTCGCGATTAAAAAAAAACAAATGAATACTAACACTTAGTGACACCTAGAATATGCTTCGACGCATGTTGAGGTTTATTATTTTGTGTAAAGTTTATCTCACTCTTAAGCAATAACTTTGTTTCGTCCAGAGTAGACGTTGCATCTGCATTAGTCTGGTGCAGATCTACGATGGGGGTGGACTCTAATCTCGTTTTGTCATTATCTTTTACCACAAGTTGATTGATCCCTTTTGTATTTAATGAGTGTTCGTTGCTTTGAGAATTTCTTTCTTCGTTTCCTTTATCATACTGTTGAAAATGATTAAATTTGTTCTTTTCTGGAGTAGAAGTGATAACTTGACAGTTGTCATCCAACTGAGGTCCAGGGAGATGGGATTCGTTAGGTAAGATGTCATTCGGTATTGTTTCTTGTTCTGAATCGGCTCCATCTTCAGAACGATCACTTTTTACGCTCATTGGATTAGCAGACTGAAATAGAAAATCAAATAATATTTCTAGCAGAAAACCATCTTGGCAGAAAAAAGTAACATAAAATTTCAAAAATAATCACCTAAAACTAGTAGAAGAGAAATTAATCAGTTAAAACTTACATAAATACGTAAATATATTTTGTACAGGCAAACTTAACCACTTTATAATTGGTTGAGCCATGCTGCAGCTATATTATGGTTGTAGCACGAATGGGTCTGCTCGACCGGGGAAGGACCACAGAATACCAATGTAAAATAGCAGCTTTGTGCTGCTGTGTTTCGTATGGTGTATGTAGAGAACCGGAGACGCTTTTTACTGAAAAAGAGGCATTCCATCTCAGTCCTTAGAGTTAGGGGTGACAACGCATCTGCATTTTGATACTTAATCGAGTATAAATTTAGTTGCCACAGCATCCACTTACCATAAGGTGGACTGTGTGTTCGTTTGTGACCCTTATTCTATAGGTATATATATATAAAAAATATGATTTATTATATTATACAAAATATTCTCATAGTCCAAATCCTACGTAGGTTTTCTTTTCGCACAGGTTCGTACTGCGGTATTAAGAAATGACCCACTCAAGTATGACGTTGATGACGTCTCACCGTGTAACTAGAGTCATCATCCGAGTCCGCCTGTAGATCCACCATCATCTTCTCAATAAGTCTTTCGATGGAGTCTTCGCTAGTGGACGCAACTGGGCTGGTCTCTTTTCTTCCCTGATTATTGCGGTCAACTACCTAAAATATGCGAAGTGGTTGATATTTTTCCCTATTAACAGGAGACTCAGCAGTGAATTCCTTACGAACTGATGAAGAAGTAGACAAAAGCGAATGTTTATACATGCACGTAACATCTATACTGTTAAAGATAGTGGGTAGAAAATTAAAATATCTCTAACAGTACTGATTTGCTAATCATAAAGTCAAGTAGCAATTTCTCACTCATATTTAACCGAGTGCGACAGGCTGCTTTAATGCGGGTTGGCGAACTTTACATATGCATGAAATATATTTTATTTGTTAGCTGTGCAGGTTTCCTTGCGACAATTTCTTTCGCAGTCGATCGCGTAATAAAAGATTGACACAAATCATTCCTAGGGTTCACACTCTAAGCAGTTATTGTCATCCTTAACGCGTTAAGAATGCTGTAATGACCTTGAGCACCCTTTGGTTTCACGGTTATTCCCAACCGGCTTTTGTAGATCCTGGATTCTTGTTCCTGACAAGCCTGAGCTTTTGATTGTGCTCAACACAAATTATGCGCTTGTACCTAGGAAATGTGAATTGTAAATGTCAATTTATTACTTGCAGTTTTACTAGTATTCAGTCCCATTGCGTGAGCTTCCACAATTTAAGAAGGAACGGACTATTCCTTTTGATTTTTAAGATTTTTTTATTTAATTTAGATTTAATTAGTTTTTGCTTTCTTGCAAGTCTTACGGTACAACCAAAAGAAACTCAAAATACCTTGTTCTTAGTTTGTTATGCCATTTCTCATATGGCCGTACATTGAAACTTAATATTCCTTCAATGTGTACCGAAATTATTACAAAATACAGTATAGAGTAGATGATCATCATCATCATGATTACATCCCTTCACAAGTCCGCTGCTGAACATAGGCCTACCACATAGGAAGCTTTACGCAACCCTTGTCGACACTCAATCTTTACAACTTTATTAACGAGAGACTTGTGGACGATAAATCCGACAGCTCCTTGGGACAGACGGTCGGCCTCCCGGTGATAGAGCAAGTTGCCGAATTCGAGGATTACCGTGTCCTCCCCCTCTCTTCGGACCTCGGATAATCCTATAATATGCCAGCGCAACTTGTCTATCTCTTCTTCCAGCTCCACGATCTTCTCGTCAGGCCTCAGGGTGCGTGCGTTGTAAGTTGCCAGGTCGAGTCGTCTTAGGTGGCAACCGAATCTCCACCGGAGCTTCTTAGCACCCTCTACACCGCCGTTACCATGGTCGCCATGGTAGCCAGGAATAGCGGGGCCGCCGGGGACTGGGGCCCGTCTCTTTGTTACTCTCATCATGGGGGGTATTAACCATAGTTGCCACCGCAGTTTTTTTATTGTAATTTTGCTGTTATCAGGAGGATGCTGCTGCCCATCTCCTGCCTGTTTCCCTTTGTCGCCTCTTACGACACCCACGGGAAGATATGAGGTAGTGGGTATTCTTAACCGCCACTACACGGCATTAAGTGCGTCTATGCCTCCGCATTGGCTGATAGTCAAAAAAGCATAAATATTTAATAAAAATATTTATTTATATTATTTAAAGGCTTAGTAAAGGCTTTGAGGTATTCCATCTTTCTCAGAATTGAAAATGCATGTGAAGCATTCTTTGTTTTAAGTATATTGCTGCTGTCCAAGGTTGTTGCAGAAGGTGGTGGTACATTTACCAGTAGGTGGCGACCTTCGTCTCTTTACCCGCAACAGACTTTACTAAGTGGTAAGGATGCTGAATACATCACACTTGCCAATTTGTGCCAGTAAGCAGTACTGCTTCTATTGTACTGTTGTATTACGATTTCGATTCATGTACTTACATGCTCACTAATTGTACAACAAGATATTATTGTAATTTAGAAATGGACTTTGTAAACTTTTACAGCCTTTGCAAAAAAATTCTGCAGTAGGTTTATATTATTGTACCTCTTTTTAAGCATATTGCGCGCACGACGGTGTGTGATTTAGCACACTGAAAGTTTTTATGGAAAAGGGTTGCATAAAGCTAAAATTTATATATGTCTAACAAATCTTAATAGTCTGTGGTAAAACAGTGACTCAATATATGTATCCTTGTATTCTATTTTGAACTAAAATTATTGCATTGTATATACTCTATCGACGGATTCAACTCGACTGGGCAGCGTTCGGGAAATTACGACACATCTTCTCGTCAGGTATACCTGAAAACCTGAAAACGAGACTGTACAACCAGTGCGTGTTGCCAGTGATGACTTATGGATCTGAGACGTAGTTCGGCACTGCTGGCCATATGAGGACGCTCAAGGTCGCATAGCATGCTATGGAGAGGGATATGCTCGGGGTTTCTCTGCGTGATAAACTTAGAAATCAGGATATCCGCAGTAGAACCAGAGTAAACGACGTAACCCAACGGATTAGTAAGCTGAAGTGGCAGTGGGCCGGCCATATAGCTCGAAGAACCGACAACCGATGGGGAACAAAGGTTCTCGAGTGGCAGCCTCGTACCGGTAGACAAAGTGTAGGGTGACCCCCACTAGATGGAGTGACGACCTGGTAAGACATGCAGGAAGTCGATGGATGCAGGTGGCTCAGGACCATGCTTTGTGGCATTCCTTGGGGGAGGCCTATGTTCAGCAGTGGACTTATAAAAGGTTGTAATGATGATGATGATGATGTGACGCACTTAATTCTATAATTATATTATTTATATTATAGTATTATGCCGCGCGCTCAAAGTACGAGTTTAAAGCGCCGCGAACTTAGCAACAAGTCTATGGGTATGTTCCGATACACACTGCGAGCACTGCTCAGTGCTCTCACTGGTGAAAAATTCGTTCCGTTGTGGACTGCCAGTATACTGCAGCAGTACCATAGGGAAATATATGACATCATAAATCGCCGCCATTTTTGTACTGTGAGCACTGGCGCTTTCGAGGTAAGGTGCTCTCAGTACTTTGATCACTCGATCTAAAAACATAGCAGCACCTAGAGATTAAACATCATCCACAAACTGTTATTATTATTCAAATAAACTCGGACATTAAGTTTTAAAAGCAACAACTTTCAAATAATATTTTTTCTTGTTGAACAGAGAACGTGTTCATGATAAATATTTTCATTTGAAAACAGTGTCAAAATGGGGATGAAATTATATTGGACTGCGTTCCGTTTTAAACAGTAGCCAGTATAGCAAACTAAAAACAAACGGCTTCACAGTATACTGCAGTGACGTTACACCTTACAATGGTCACAGCGTATATCGGAACACACTATATATTATGAATGTAAATTGATAATGGAATATTATCAGTTATATGCTAGGTATATTACACAACTATTATACCTCCAACCACAACTTAGTAACAATCAACATAGCATTCGGATATGTAAATTTTTAACACACACAATTCCATCGCACAGGAAATTATTGACGGAAACAAAGTTGATACGATGATCTAACTCAATATAATATTCCAAGAAAAGGAGAACAACGGTTTCTCTACTTACCAAAACCTCATCGTTATTGCTGATACGTGTAGTGTTATTGTTGCCGTAGTTCTGCGGGTGTCTTCGGAAGCACATGGTGAACTCAAATAGCGACTGCACGCTGCTGAACCAAGACTGGCTCGGTTGAGCCGGTTTACTTCGCGCTCGCATCATTCTGTTGCCCTGGTACTTAAGGGTTCGAAGGTAGCGTCGCTTGCCTTGAATGTATGTAACCTGTGGCACAGAATAAATAATAGTACTACGTACAGAAGTTGCACTCCTTTGATGCCGACGTTTTAATAGACTACATAGTTATTATTAATCAGTAAAATCTAAGTTAGTCTTATCAGTAAATAAAACTTTATCGCTGCACGCGAGTGTCCGTATTACTTTGCATCTTTTCTCCTTCCTACGTCACCACGGACTTTCCGTGGTTACTAAGGGATGTTAATAAAGAGTAAAAAAATACATTTTGAAATGGTAAGTAAGTAACTTAGGTAAAGTACCTATTCTGACTATGGAAACCGGATTGGAAAGAACTGAAAATACTCCACCTAGATAGGTAGGAAGCTCAATTGTCGATGAACTATACGTTCAAAAACTTTTGAAATGAATGGAATTATGGTTATGGGGCGGTAGGGAGGAACTTGCTTTTTTATGTATAGTAGTAATCTGGGACTCTTTCCAGGAAGAGGGAAAATTTCCGGACGAAATGGAATAATTAAAGATGGATTTTATAAGAGGAGTCAAGATATCGATAATAGGAATAACCATTTTACGACTAATGCAGTCTGTACCAATGGCACCATAATTGTCCTCAACAATGCTTTTCTTAACATCACTATCAGTGATTCGACTAAAAATAAACGCAGGTTTGTCAGATTTAGGTAAAGCTAAAATTTGAGTTTTTGTGACATCATCTATGGCACAATAAGAGAAATACTGATTTAGCTGGTTCAAAACAAAATATTTTTGGGGCTATTATTTTGACTCGCTTTCCCAACTCCAAGAGACACTAAGAGGTAAATTTCCATACTCTGGCGGAATCATCTTCATCGAGTATAGATTTATGGATATAGCGTCGTTATTTATCTCTACACGACCTTTTTATTTATAGGATAGGGTGACAAACGAGCACACAATCCACCTGATGGTAAGTGGTTGCTGTGGCCCATAGACATCTACATTTATCTTCGTTTGCGAATCAAAATGTAGATGCGTTGACATCCGCAAGGACTAAGATGGAATGCCTCTTTTCCAGTAAAAAGGGTCTCCGGTTCTCTACACCTACCATACGAAACAGAGCAGCATGAAGCTGCTATTTGACGCTCGTATTCTGTGAGAACGTGGTCCTTCCCCGGTCGAGCCGACCCATTCGTGCTACAACTATACTACTAATATAGCTGCAGCAAGGCTCTACCACGTAAGCCTCTTGCAGTGATTCCGAATATTTTTATATTTATCTCTATTGGTATCAGTGTTATCAAATTTATACCTAGCTTTAGCAAAATTTTTCTTACGCTGCAAATTTTTGATCTCCTGAGTAAGCCAGGGAGCAGGAAAATGCTTAATCCGAACTGGCCGAATTGGAGCATGAACTTCGTAGAGTTGTGTTAAAAGAAAATTAAAGCTATCAACCCTTTCGTCAATGTTAGCTCCAGTAAAAGCAACATTCAAGTGGATCATCGCAGCACCATTTCTCAGACGATCTAAATCTATACCATCAAAATTACGCAGCAGAAGGATTCTCGATGTAGGTTTAGGTGGTCGTAATTAGTATGATAATTAAATCAAGTCGTGATATGAAAATGCATCAGCAGGACACTGACCATGTTTATCAACATGATCAATGTAAGAAACAAGAATAAAGTCCAGAAGAGATGGGGAACAATTTGGAAAAAAGTGAGTAGCAGAAAGAGGGAGAATATGTAAGTTAGCTGCTTGAGCTATAGATTTCAATCGAAAGGAGCGCAAGTCACTTTTTAGAATGTACGTGTTAAAATCACCCATGATGATAGAGTGCTGATACAGTGGAATATATTTGTCTAAGAGGCTTTCAAACGGAGAAAAGTCAACTGCAAGGCTAGGATTGAAAAACACGCCAAGTAGTAGCACAAAAAAAAACTTCAATAATTAAATGTTCAGCTCCTGTAGTGCCCTGGTCAATTGACATACTTATATTTGTAAATGGTAAGTATGAGCGAAGGTAGCACCAACCCGAGTAATAAGATCATTCCTTATTAGTTGAAAGCCTGGAAGAGCATATGATGTGGAGGACAAACAAGGCTTAAGCCAAGATTCGGATATCAAAATACCGTGTATGTTTTTGCTATCAAATGAGGAGAGCATGTCTGGATAATATGCTGGAATACACTAGGCATTAAAATTGATAATGTTGAAACATTTCAGTAGATCTGAGAAGTGCGAATCTAATGCTTGATTATGAGAAGGGAGACTGCAGTAACTATTACTACTATTCAATCCATCAGACGATGAAGACGAAGAAAAAGGTGCAAAAATATAACTAAAAACGTTGGAATCTTAATTTTTAGGCGATAGTAGAACATACCTTGCGCTTCCGCTTAAGGCATGCAATATAAATTACTTCAATAAATAAAATGGGATATAAATAATAAAAAAGACAGGTAATATAATACCCACCAGCACCAGACTGTCGTCACCACTCGTATCAAAATAACAAAAAAAAAGTTAAAAAAGAAGTTATAACTTTAGTCCAAGTGAGACAGGGGAAGATGACATGTAAAATTTAAATATCATTTTTAAAACATACTACAAACATAAACACAAATAAAAAAATAAAAGTACCTTACAAAACATAAACACAAATCAAAAAAAAAATTATAAATCATAGTACTCAGAAAGTATTATCAAAATACAGGAATCTATAGCAAAAATGAGAAATTTAAAATTAAGGTTAGTTTATGGTTAATGATCAAAATGACAGTCATACAGGATTCTACAACTGTCACATTGTTAGTTTTCAGCGTTTTCAGTTGGTTTTCAGTATGACATAACGTTATATTGTCAATAATGCATGATATGAATATTCCAAGGCAATGAGTGAAGCAGTAAGGTCCTCCGTCTTAGCCTCTAATATGCCATGCAAGAGTAGCTTCTTCCGCCTTCTCCGCATTTCCTGACGATCCATTTCCAGCCTTAAAAACTCCATTTGCTGTTGTATAGTAGTTAATGTGGCTACAATAAAAGTTTTTAAAGACTCGAAGTCACCAGCGATCGACGAGGTGGTAGCAGAGGTCTTGCCTGCTGAGTTTTTTTGCAAATCTTGCTGGATTTCGTCCATTTTCGTGTAAAACATCTCAGACATTGCAGAAAATGATTGCTTTAATTAGTCCATATTATGTAAGTGGATAATGAAATAAAGTGAAATTATCACAAAGATTTCTTTTGCTGGTAAGTAGGTAGTGTCACTCACATGTACATAATTTACAATAAAAATTTAAATAAATCCAATAAATACTATAATTTCAATTAAAAAGAAATAGAACGATATAAAATATGTGTTGCTTTTACGCCTACCCTCACGAAAAAAATGAAATAATTAAAAAAAATAGCTTGGCATCAACTTACATACTGCATGTATTTTAAAGCTACTTACCACATCTGCCGATCTTAATGGAGGTTTACCCAAGACAAGGTTAACAAGAGATATAGACTCCCTGATGACACGAAGGGCTACAAGTAACGTGAGAAAGAACACCCAAGGCAGTGGACGAATCAACTCTGGTTGTGGATGTTCATCCTGATCCACTGAAAAGACAAGGTTCTTCTTTTATGATCATAAGACAAATAATAATAATAATAATAACGTGTGTACTAGATGAGTAACATATAGTACAATAAAACTGTACTCCTTATTCATTAAAGAATATTAAAAATGCAAGGTATTCGCCGGTTACTTTTATTTATCCAAAAATATATCTAATATAATACATCATACTTAATTCATAACATAAAAGTAAAAAAAAAACAAAGTTGCGTGGTTCAGTCAATATACATTCCCAAAGTCAATAGTTACACAGGCCTATATTTTCATATTTGTATAGGTTTTAAAGTAGGTAAGTTTTGGCCTAATACTGCCCCAATAGGTGTTATCAGACTTTACTTTCTCCAGTTCTCGAAATAATTTTTATTCTCTCCTTTGGCCTTGGAAATGCAGGTTTACTCACGTTGAGTCCTTTCACAGCCAACCACATCGCCAATCAGCATTTAAATTGCAATAAACATTTTCATTGGTGCTAGCGGGACTGTTCAAGTCCTTTTACTGAATATATAGTTATAGTGAAGTTGTCAATCGCAATTTTAAGTCATAACTTACCAGGAAAAGGAAAACATCGTGAGTAAATTACATTTACTCACGATGTTTTCCTACATTTGTGAGAAATGAAAAATATTTCGAAGACATGAGAAGTCGGTCAACACATTGGAGTAGCGCATATATATAGAATATTACTTTCTTCCTTACTAATGAGTATAGGCCTTTCATTATAGGCCCATATTCTAACTAATAATACAGCTCACCATTACTAGACAGTAGGGTATGGTTTCGGCGTATTTGGATGGATTTTCATTCGTAAGTCAGTCTCCAAAGGAGGATATCCGGGCGGCGTTTAGTCCAAACAATACAAATGTATACCCCATTTTCTCCATGGATAATGACATTAGAGCAAATATATTTTACGATTCAATCTACATCTACCACTGCTATATACTGTTTTCTTTCTTATATTAATTAATTATTATTTTTAAAGCTTTTAAAATTACTAAAACTGCTCAGTTATACTTTAGTAAACTATTAACTAATCTGTCGTTATACGGCCGTCATTAGGCATCCAGCAAATTTAACGAACGTAAAAAAATAAAATCACACACACAGTCGCAATCTCTCTTTTATAGTTTATAAAAATAGTTTGGAAAATCCAAAAGAGCAAGCCTCATGAGTGTTTCATTTAATTATGATGAAAAAAATTAATTGTATTCCTGCCTTGAAATATATTATTTACGTGTTAAAATATATTACTTTAATAGGTAGTGTCACCTACAGGGAAAATATTTTTTGATGTTTACCAAAATAAATCGGTTATACAAAGTTTATAATCGATATAGGTTGTATGGTACATTTGTCCTTTGTCTATCAAGGACTAAAAACACATGTAAGCGCTGGACGAGCCAGTAACGTGGGTTTCTTCGATAAAGATTTGTGGACTGTATTGGTACATACAATAAGCAGAGCAAGGAAAGTGAATGAGAGTGGAATGCACGCACTTACCTTGTGAGGAATTACCTCACCTTCCTCCCGGAGTATCAGCTAACACAGCAGGTCCACCAGTAGGATCGGCGCACGCACTCTTAGGTCAGTTCTAGGATGTCACACACTCCTTAACTCTCGACTTATTGTAATCGCGGAAGGCGCGTTACATTCGCGAAATTATTAGGACTCAATGTCCGGTAATAATTAATATAACAGAGGAGATCGAGGGAGGCAATGTCCTTCGTGCGGTCGCGGTCGCGGTTATTAATCGATTATACGTCGATAATCGGCTATACGTGCATATAGGATGGATTAGGGAAGGGAGGGGTTTAAGTATTCTATTAGATTTATAAATTAAATTGTTAACTGGCTTTACCATTTCCTTCCGTCCGCCCTTAAAGGGTCACCTTTAAAGGCGGCTCACACAAAAGACGATCGTAAGAACAAAAAAAGTTAAGAGAAATAGTTTAAAAATTGATAATTTAGAGAAAATTTTGATTATTTATTTTAATTCAATGAATGTAGTTCGTAAAAAAACTTCTAAACAAGTAGAATCTGAGCTTGACGATGTATACGTATTTGCATCATGTTCACTTCAACCAGCCGTAGACATGTCAACATCGTGAAACTCTTTATATTATAATAAAACCGACCTTTACACTATGTTAAAAACTGAGAATTACATTTGATTTTTATTAAAAATAGGTGTTTTTAGGGTTCCGTATCAAAACCTACAGGGTACTTCCTGTGAACTCAGAATCTTAAAATTTGGTACGAAGCAACGTATTATAGCACAGATAAAGGAAAATTTGCGAAAAGCATAAATTTTTAGTTACCTACATCATAATATAATAAAAATATTTTTAATAATTTTAAACCTATATACCTACGGATTTGTTCGGAACCCTCGGAGCGCGAGTCCGACTCGCACTTGGCCGGTTTTGAGTGCGTGCGTGCGTGCGCACGCATGCAAGCAATAATTCGATGAAATAGCAAATTTACAATTGGTCGTATGAAATATTTATACGTAGGTAATATTTTTATTAATCTCAGGACTTCAAGCAAGCAATCCCGCGTACGGGATTCAAAAAGGCTAAAAATGTAAACTTTAGGTAAATAAGCCCCTGATTATCAGACCATGACTAATAACGCATAGCGTTATGAGGCGTGCAAAGTTTAAATCTCTCCAGATTTGGAAGAGGGATGAATATTTCGTAAATTTTTTAGGAGTGCAATCAGTCCGAGTTGCAGTTATCTCTCTCGGTTGTATAGTGCGGTAGGGTACAGCGCGGCAGAAATAGATCAGTAAAAATCTATACTAGAAAATTTTCGCAGCCCAAATATCCTCCTAACAGTCAGTCAGCACCACGTGCAGATGAGGTTGGCGCTTTACAATACATGAAAAATTTATTATACATCCCACACCTTACAAGCGATAACGGAATGCCAATATAAATATTAAAGAAAGTTACATGGAGGAGGTACAGCCCACCGCGCACTCTTCTCGATAGTCCACAGCACTCGATCAATTTGACGCAACACACTCTGTCCTAAACGATAGCTTGCAGCATGCTCAGCAACGTTCTGCAACATCTCCTGTACGAACCCCGTCACCTCCATGGCTGAAAAATGTAAGCATTTCGTAACTCATATTGTACACAAAGCTTTAATTGTAGAAATCTATTAGTTTAAATTCTGGGGACATCATAGTGGGGAACATCATACTTAAGTTTTCCTTTAAAAATATTTACCTCCATGGCTGAAAAATGTAAGCATTTCATAACTCATATTGTACACAAAGCTTTAATTTTAGAAATGTATTAGTTTAAATTCTGGGGACATCATAGTGGGGAACATCATAGTTAAGTTTTCTTTAAAAATACCAACCCAAAAATGAGCCGCCAATTTTGTAGTTTGCATTGCTTGCTATTTATATGTATAATAATTTAAAGGCTATCTTTGCACTAAATTCAAATTGTTCATTTCTTACAGCTTGATTACAGCCTGTCAAAGTCCTACGTTCTGTAGAAACTGAAGATATGACTCCCCCAAAAATTTAATATTATGGGATATTCGGTGCGATATGTGATCTTATGGGAGATTAATTTAAAAAAAATTTTGGCGCGCTTTACTGGCTAGTTACAAACCACATTTTTTTATTCCTTAGAGTTTTTATAAGATATATGCTGCAGCTCATTTCTTGTTTCAGTTCTCTGTTTGCTCTTATGACACCTGCGGGATGATATGTTACCTCCCTCCATATCATCCCGCAGGTTAACTCTCTCTTATATTGAAAATTAGTATACAGAATTTCTGAAACCGCTTGCCAAAGAATGAACACTGAAGCAATTCCAAAGTCCTCCGTTTTGTAATAATAAAATTTTAATAGTTAAAAATTTAAAATTTTGTACAGCCGACTTCAATATAAGTTATTAAGAATAACTCAAAAACTATTGGTCTGACTTTGATCAAATTATAAAATAAAATATGGGACCACACGAGAAGTACCAGCTTTCAAATAAAAAAAGAATCATCAAAATCGATTCACCCAGTAAAAAGTTATGAGGTAACACACAAAAAAAAACATACAGTCGAATTGAGTACCGTCTCCTTTTTGGAAGTTGGCAGAAAATAAATATTTTTTTGTATAGAAACAAAAATAAACAAGTTAAGCAACATTTCAACTTTAATCATTTATATAACACATTACTGATAATTTGTTTGAGCTGTTTATTGGACATTATATATTAAAGCTAGTTATTAAGGTATCGTAATGGCAAACAACGTGTATAAGTAAATATGTACGTAGTGAACATGTCTTTATGAATTTATGAAACTACCATTTCAGTAAATTAAAGTTAAACAATTTAAAAATAACTATTAATAAAAAAGTAACGGTTTTTACTTTTTACTTATAGTTACTTTAAAACCTATATCATCTCGTAGGTGTTGTAACAAGCAGCAGAGGGTCATCAAACAGGATATTATGGAAAACAGCATCTTTAGCAAATATTCCTTATATAACATAGAAACAAATTACATCCTCAGTGACCATCAATATGACTTCCGTCGGGGACGATCCACTGGAGATCTTTTTGTATATGTTACGCATTTCTGGGGCGAAGCCATCGAGAAGAACGGTGAAGCTCTAGCAGTTTCACTCGATATTTAGAAGGCTTTTGACAGGGTATACCATTACGGCATCCCCGCCGAATTTTGTAACTAGATACCTCACTTTCTGAGTGAACGGTCGATCAGGGTAGTTATAGATGGCTGCTCTTCTAACATAATGCATATTAATGCCAGAGATCCTCAAGGATGTTTTCTCTCTGAGACTCTTTTCCTGCTGCACATCAATGACCTACTTTTACCAGATATTGTTGGGTATGCAGATGACAGCACAGTCACAGAAAGATTCATGTCCAGTGCAAGACGGAGGAGCAGTAATACGTTCATTCAGAGGCCATGGTGAATCGGATAAATGCGACCTTAAGCCTTGCCTCCCAATGGGGTGACGACAATCTGGTGACTTTCAACGCCGCTAAAATGCAGGCCTGTCTGTTCTCCGCACAACGGAGTGCGTTTGATCTGGTTTCCTACTTTTCGCAAACAAAAAAGCACAAACTGTGGCCAAAAAACTGGGTGACACAGAACAGCTTCTAACTTTATACAAAGCTCAAGTCCGAACATGCATGGAGTATTGTAGTCACCTTTGGGATGGCTCAGCAAAATATCAAGTTGCCGCACTCGACTAGTGGAAAACAGAGCCAAGAGGCTTATCGCCGACAAAAACTGGCGGGAACTAAGCTTTACAGCCTAGCTCAACGCCGCCAAGTTGCTTGGTTGTCGGTCTTCTACAGATTGTACTTCCGAGAGTCATAAGCTCATATCACCATCTTCATTCTACTACTATCGGAGTACTGCAGGTTGCACACTTGGTTTACATTCCGAATATTCGTACTAAACGCTATAAGCCATATCTTATAATGCGCATAGCCAAGGAGTGTAAAGTCCTGCCGGCGTCTGTTTTCCCGAGAGCATATAACCTGAACCTCCTCAAAGTGTGTGTAAACAGGCTTCTCCTGGGCAAACTCGCTCTATTGTAGACTTCATCTTTCCCTTCGGGCAGGCCCGAGTTTTGATGGAGTTCAAGAGTGAGTCCATTTCAAATTAAAAAACATAATATATTATAAAAAAAGTCAACAAGACTAGCGTAACCAGTTTACAAAATAAAATAAGAAGATAATCCTTGCAAAAATCAGAACAAAGGGTAGGGTAGGTATACATTTCGGAGTATGAGCAGGGATTGCATGACTTCGAGAGAACGCTAGGCTAGTTTTCACCCCTTTGTTGTAGCCAAACCTCGCATTAAGACCACAATCGATTTTTCGGCAATTACCATTCGATTACAATGTGGGTGTCTTGAAGGCAAGAGTGAATAGGCTTTTGTTGAGCTAAGTCAGTGCGCTTTGTCATCTGCGCTGCATCACCACGTACCATAAGATGGAATAGTAGTCAAGCACTGGCTTATAATATTTGAAGAAAAAAAACAAGTAAATGTTTTTTTCCGTGAGTCCAAACCAATTTTAGAATAACAACAGAGTAAATAAATATAACGTTAAAAAAAATAGGGGTCAAAGGTGTGAGACCTTTGGTACCGGGAGCAGGAATTCGCCGGTCATACGTGACTTTTACGCAAAATCCCTACGACTTTTGAAAGGAGTGGTGCAGGAGTGGACTGTGTACAGACAATTTAAGAGATGGAAAAAATATACGAGGTTAAGTTAGTTATTGTCGGAGAAGGTAATTATAACATCTATCCGTTTTTATTACTCACCACAAGAGGAATTTGCTTGCTATAAATTGATTATATCCTTACACTACACTTTCACAAATAAACACCCCCAAATATGTATACTTCACTGAACCAGGGAACCCAAAAAACGATTAAAACAGTCGTTGAATTTTTTTTAACATTAAACGACCGCGTTCACTGGTTTTGATATGACCAATGAGCACAACTGACACGCAAAAGGGCTCAAAGTATTCTCAGCCACTTAACGAAAGAATGACTCGACTCGATAATAATAGGTTTATCATTTACCTATCATACGTATATAATTTACTCGGACAATTTATGTGTCTACAGATTAAAGGTTGAAATTTTTAGTATTAGTATATAAATAGACTTTAGTGTTCAGAAAATCTATACGAATAAATAAAATTGGAGTGTCTATTTGTAATGTTACAATAACAGCTTTTTACTAAATGCATATGAAAGTATATACGGTACTAATAACAAAAAAAAACAATTTTTGTCTGTCTGTCTGTTTGTTCCGGCTAATCTCCGAAACGGCTGTATTGATTTTGTCGGGACTTTCACTGGCAGATAGCTAATGTCATAAGGAGTAACTTAGAATACTTTTATTTAAGAAAAAGAATTAGGGTACCGCGCAAAAAAAAAAACACATGAAATCGTAGTAAATTTCACGCGGGCAAAGTTGCGGGGGACAGCTAGTGTATAAATAATTTTCTATTTGTTTAATATTTATTGCTGGTCACCCGAAAACTAAGGTCTACAATGCAATAATGAACATTAACTTAATAGTGTGGGTTATGTATTATAAAAAAAAAATTTAAACCAACATGGTAGCGATCACTTCATTCCGGAAGATTATTATCAATCATGTATTCTTTAATATTTAAGACCCTAAGAGACTTAGGTACATGAAGGTATTTTTAAAGTATAAAATATTTTAGTTACTTTGGAAGCTACTATAAGTACCTATGGTAATATTTTTATTTTTTTGTTAATTCGTCGCTAACGCCGCAAAGGGGCTAACCTCATTTTTTTAAATTACAGGAGAGCAAGAAAACATTTATTATTCCCTGATTACTAGCTTTTTTTTCATCAGGAAATTAAGTATATTAGACTTACTGGAAAACTACAAATAGGAGGTTCGTCCCTTTGCGGCATCAACGACGAATTATGGCATCCAAAAATAGAGTATAAATTCAAAGCTACGTTACGCCGCCTAAATTATCTTTCAACAACCCTAATCAAATATAAATAACTGCAAGGAGAAAACATATTTCGTTTTGACTTCTATATACCACGTTGATAATACTAGTAGCAAGGGGCATAGGTCGATGCAATCGTACGCAGATACGGTCGAAGGAACAAGATATACTGAACGTAATTAAGACCATTTCGGCGGCTAAATCACACCTTGTTTTAGTACCTAGTGAAACTTTTTTCGTATTACTATAACCTACACAATTGCATTACGGTATCAGCATGAATGTCAAGTACATCAATGGAGGACCTAAGGACTATGCTCAATGACCTCGATAATGTCTGCCGATGGATAGGTTTTAAGGTGAACATGAACAAAACAAAACTCATGTGTAATGTCCATGTCTCATCTACGCCAGTAGTTGTAGGGATAGTTACCTGCGAAGTTGTTGATGAATATGTTTAAGTACTTATATTTTGTTAATAATATTTTGGCGATTAAAAATTCTTTAGGACTAAATGAAAAATAAATTTCAGCACCTTCGTATGGTTATTTTACCAATGCTCAGCTCTACGTACCTTTATATTTTTAGTTCCCATGACA